GAAAGCCAACCCGAAAGCTATGAGCCAGTGTCAGTATTTCCAAATCCCCGGCGGGAAAATGTACTAACCAAGAATGAGGGCCCATACCCATTGCATGGCAATTGGGATGCGGTACGATGCAGAAGTAATGTAATTTTGAGTACCGTATACCACGCAGCTGGCCAGGAGAATACCGACAGTGATGCAAAACTGATAGCCGCTGACCATGGCTCCTCTGACTTTCCGTGGCGCAATTTCAGACATGTAGAGGATGATGATTGCCGAGACGAAACCAACACCCAGACCAGAGATGAGACGGCCCGCGACAAGGAGCCCATAAGCGGCAGCAGCCACTTGAAGGACAACGCCAACGGAAAATATGATACATCCCGCTATGATGGTATTTCGCCGCCCAACAAAGTCGGCAATCTAGCCAACCTATTAGCCTATTCTGCTGCTGATAGTTTGCATGGCAACGATTTCATCAAAAAAGAAACAAAACAGAATCGTCTTTTAAAGAAGAAAGAAACTCACATCCCCAGCCACAACGGCACCAGTAAACGTCCCAGCAGATAATATGGAAACAATCAGAGACTGCCTCCACGCAGGAATGACAAAATTGCCCATCTCTTGGGCAGAAGCTTCGGGCCCGGGGTACGGTATGCCTGTAAACTGGTGAATGAAGGATCTCATTCCCAACACACCATTGACATAGCCAGAGTCGTAACCAAAGAAGATGCCACCGAAGGCAGCAAACGCGCAGATCAAGTAGGCCTTGAACGTCACGGGTGCCTCGATACGGTCGACATCGACTGGTGCAACAAGGACGACACCGCCTGTAGGCATGGCGAAAAGAAGCCTGAAGATGGAGGTGTTGCAGCAGAAAGGTCGCAAAGTTTTGTGAAGGAGCGATTGAGTAGGCTGGGGAGTTCAGGGAACAACATATGATGGATTCGTCGAGAAAGGGGACACCATAGTACTGTTATATAGTCCATTTCCGTCGGCCCATCCCCTACAATAAGGTGTCATTGTAGTGGACACTTGTACTTGGACCTAAGTCGGCAAATCGACTTCGCCTGAAATGTTCAAGTGCCCCTGCGCATCTCCGCCTGGAGCTGCCCCGGGGGGTTGTCGCGGAGGTCGGGGAACCATATTGACCAATGTAGCAGCGAAGCGGACGTTCATCTGGGGGCAAACATTGTTAAGCAAGTCGAAATTTTATGGACCCAGGCGGAAATTTACTGTTTTGGGAAACCACCGCTCCGACGAAAAAGGGGCCGCCGCCTCGCTGTCGGCAAGGCTGTGCGGATTTCCCTTTTCGCCGTTTGCGACCCATTGATACGGAGTACAACAAGGGCAAAAAATAGGGAAAAGAAGGACATATACATATATCGTGAGAAGAATCCAAGGACACAGATGTGGGAGAATCCATCCAGCAAGTCGTATCAATATTTTCTAGTCACTGAAACCTTGATTGTTCTGGTTGACATTACAGAGGTCAACATGCTTGTTCAGGGTGAGTGCTTCCATGGCTTCCTACAAGTGGAGCATCGTCAGGACAATACCACTAACTTTGATGGCGTAGTCCTCTTGGGAACTGTAGCGGTGGCCATTTTCATTCAACCCATACTACTCTACCTCCTGGATCTCAAAGGTCTCAGGAAATTTCCAGCGCCATCCTATGCCGCTCTCTCGTCCCTGTGGCGCATCTCGCACAATCTTCGTTGTCGACACTTTCTCGCCATTCACCAGGCACATGAATCGCTCGGCACACATGTTCGGATTGCTCCAAATCACGTCTCCATCTCCGACCCCGGTGCTGTGAACGAGATCTACGGTCACGGTGCCAGTCTCTTGAAGGATGCTTTCTACGACGGCGGAGCAGGCCAACATAGGAATATGGCCGACGCCAGAGTGAAGTCCGAGCATCAATTCAAGAGAAAGACCTTGGCTCACATCTTCGCGCAAAAGACCATTGCAGGCCTCGAGCCTGTCATTTCTCGGGGCATTACCAATCTGGTGAAGCAGGTGGACAAACATGCTGCTTCCGGTGTGGACATCAACATGCGTCGCTACCTTAACTATTTCACCATCGACGTCTTTTCAAATCTTCTTTATGGGGAACCGCTTGGCTGCCTAGATAGGGGGGATGATGTTGTCAAAGCGGAGACTCCTGCTGGCAGGGTTTATGAAGTCCCTTTCATCAAGACACTACACAAGGCTACTATCATCGGCACAGCTCTTGGGATGGAAGCTACCTTGCTCCCTCTCTCGAGGAAATTGTTTGCGTGGCATTCCTATAAGCAAGCAGGCCTCGATTACGAAAACATCATCTACCACAATACCAGAAGGAGACTTCAGAACAAGGATGCCGAAGGCGACATCTTCTCAAAGCTGCTCAAGAATGGGAAGGGAGAGGTCCTCAACCTTTCCCCAGGTCAGATTTTGGCAGAATGCGGCGTCATGATGAACGCTGGCACCGACACCACTACCGCCGCGCTGACTAACACCATCTATCTCCTCTGCAAACACCCCAAAGTACTGGCCAAGCTGCGGGAAGAACTCGATGCTGCAGGCCTCTGTGACGAAGTCCCGTCCTATGAAGCTGTGGCCAAGCTCCCTTATCTCCGGGCATGCATTGAAGAGTCGCTTCGCTTGCGGCCTGCCAGCTCCATGGGCTTGCCAAGAGTTGTACCTAAAGGCGGACGTGTTCTGGCCGGTGAATTCATATCCGAAGGCGTGACCGTCTCCGTGGGTTCCCTTCCGTTCGTACCCTGCGACAACCGCAGTTCCTAACATTGCAACGGACAGGTACCGACCTACACTCTTCTTCGAAACCCTGACGCCTTTGAGAATCCTGCTGAATACAACCCGGATCGCTGGTCCACTGGCAACAGAGAGAAGATGGCTCAGTGCCATCTTCCTTTCAGCACCGGGCCACGAGCGTGCATCGGCAGAAACATTGCGTATTTTGAGCAGCTGCTGGTAATCTCTACCCTTGTCCGCCTCTTCGACTTCGAATTTCTTGACAGCGAGTTTGAACTAGTCACACTTGAAAGATTCAATTCAAACCCTGGCGAGTTGGTCCTTTCTTGTCGTCGTCGGCAGATCTGATGGCCAGTCAAGCTTCAGTTGTTGGTGGTCGTCATATCTCTAGTGACGCTTTGTCGTTTTCGATAGTTTCCAAAATACTGAGCTGCCAAAGTATCGATCTCCAAGCTTTTATTAATGGACTTGGTCAAGGTGGTGAGCGGTCGCGAACCCCCTGTGGCCTGCCAAAGTGAGGGGACAATACGAAGATGTATCCCTCTGGCTTTCACCACCCATGGACTATTCACTTTGTTCTTCAGGAAAAGCGTCAGCGAAAGAATGCCGCAAAGAAGGAAGTCGAATATTCTCGCAAACGGGAATTGGATGCTTTCAACGAGAAAGATCTTTCCCGGAAGTTGCTGAGCTCGGCCCTCCTAGTGGATTGAGAGAAACGGACGAATAAAATGTGGCAATGTATGCAAAACCTCATGTGCTCCTAGGATGTCATTTCCCGCTGCTACCAGGGGAGTTGAATAGGGCGAATCTCGCGAAGTTTGGGGACCATCCCAGAATGAGCCGCCAAACTCAAGTGCGCAGGATAGCAGCCAGGTAGACATACTTGTAGGTATGTCAAATGGGTCTCGCCCGCCTGAATCTACAGTTGAGTTAATTAAAGAACCGAATTAAAGGTCGGAGCAACCATTACTGCTGCCATCCACAAAACTCCGCTAACGGGCCACGACTTATACAACCTCGATATGAAGTCACGTGTCAAGCGGTATTGCATGACCATGTACCTTCTTTTCAGGAGCGGAGGTACGTAGGATTTACTTGGAGTGTGTACGACTATGCCGATGGACCGTCTATGCGGGCAAGCACCCGTGCCTCTTCGTCACGCGCATCCATCCAAGCGGTTGAAAGTTGTGCATGTGATCGCCAGCAGTGGGAGTCATTCGCTGTCGCTGTAAGCGACTTGTGGGAATGTGAAATAGAAGAAATGTAGAGGCGCACGCCATAACAACCGAGGCCAAAGGGGGACAGGCTGAGGACGGAAGTTGGGCTGGCGAAGACTGCATGTACACGTAAGCGTTTCTCACAAACGGGATGCGAAGCTGGCCACAGATCGCATGTCAACAGCACTGCCTGTCCAGTCGCGCTTCGACACCGCTACACTAGAGCGCATCGGAACGGTAGTAGAGACTGTCAATTGGTGCCGCATAGGTGTTTTGGGGTCAAAAGCCATGCCTCCCTCGATTTCGTTTCTCAACCTCAAGACGTCTAGCACATTCAATGCGTGAGATGGGCTTTAGGGGTCTCGCAAGACCGACCTTGTACCATGTTGTGACGAGTCGTGACACCGCAGAGTATGTTGAGCAGCCAGCGTCGGTCCGCAATCTTCGTCAACATTGACCGAGCCTAATGAGAGCGGAATCTCCGTCACCTTTCCAACCGCACTCAGGCTCGGAACGTACAAGAGAATACACATGCCAAAGTAATGTGCGAAATTGAAGTCCTAAAGATGTGTCGACAATATTTGTGAAAGCGGAGGGTCTTGCCCCAACTACAGTGCTTGGAATGTTGAAGGCCAATGAACCACCAGCAGTTCGCAGCCCGTAAGATACCAGACCTCCTGTTACAATGGTATGACCGTCATTTGAAACCTTACAGCTGTGCTCCGACATTTAAGCGAAGTCTCCCTGGATCTTGGCGAACGGGCGCGAGCGTGGCAGCCTCCAACTCTTGGCAATTATCACGTGATTGCCACGGCTCCCTGTTGCCCAGCCTCTCAACCCATGTCAAATGTCGTCTCGATGAGGCTAAGCATGATGTAGGGTTAAAGCTGCTAAAGCACCCACAGTGCTATGTCATGTACAGGTCACAGCGTGTATTGTGGCAATTCCGTGTATCTTTGCATCCGTCCACCTCTATTTGATGGTGTAAGTGTGTGAAACTTACCGGTCACGGAGATTGCAATTCATTAAGCAGCTTCCATGGGCGAACATAATCCGATCGTCCACAACGATATAGCAGTGCGACTATTAAGAAGGGACAGTCAGAACGAGCTCAGCCTGACCGATGATCCAGACGAGAACATTCCCTATGCGATCCTCTCCCACACCTGGTGCCCAGACCATAATGAAGTCACCTTCGCCGATATAGAGAAGAGTTAAGGCCAGAGCAAGGCAGAATACGCGAAGATTCGATTTTGCGGCGAACAAGAAAAGATAGAATCGAGCACTCCTAGGTGGATATATATTGTATTCATCGAGATAGGTTGAATGAGCTATCTGAAGCCATCACAAGGATTTTTGGCTAGTGTCGGGAGGCGACAAAGTGTTATGTCTACCTTTCTAATGTATTAGTCCGAAAGGATGACAACATTAGCAACGTGCAGAGTACGTGGGAACCGAGCTAACGGATCAGCCGATGGTTTACCCAAGGCTGGACGCTGCAAGAGCTTCTGGCTCCCGATGTTGTCGAATTCTTCTCGTAGGAAGGAGAATTCTTTGTGACGAAGCAGACGCTGGCACAGCTGATTCACGAGGTCACAACCCATCCCCTCGCTGTTCTGCGGGGCACGTCTCGCAGTCAATATCCGATTGACGAAAAATTACACTGGGCGGAAAAGCGCCAGATGAAGAAGATGGAGGACGGAGTATATTATCTGCTCGGACTCTTTGACGTCTTTATGCCGCTTATCTATGACGAGGGCGACAACGCATTTCGCCGACTTAGGGAGGAGATCAACAAACAGTTTGGCGGTAATGTCGCTGCCTGTCTTGGTATTGTTGATGATTTCAGATCACCAGGATGGTGCCAGAGACCGGCGCCGCTCAATGATGTTGATGACTTCAGTGGGCGAGCCTCCGACTTCGGTTAGACGGTACAAGCTTTTCCAACCAGGCGAGTCGAGGCCTGCAAAACGTGTCAGGACATCGTATGATGCGAATGTCTTGGGGCCGGGCAACGGTCGTTCGTGTAGCAATATCACGGCCACGTTCAGCAGTCAAGCCAGGATTCTCAACACGATTCAATGATAATCAGCGAAGACAAGTACAATGTCCTTCTCAAATCCCTCCTATTCGCTCGAGTCGACTTTCATGTCAACAACGTCAAGAAAGCACTGCTGTCAACCTGCCACTGGCTCTTCCGCCATCCCCATTTTCAGACATAATATTGTAACAGAGCACTTTAGGGTTCGGCGTGCACGTGCAACAACGCGCAGAGTCCTGTCCAGCAGATCGGGAATCGAGGACGCGTTTCTGGTTGACGCTGACAGGGCAACACGACCACCAACACCACCCCCAGAGAGGCGGCAGCCAGGGCAACGAGCGCCTAGCACGGCGACGACATTGAGAAGTAGGAAAGGGCAGATGAAACACTCTGGAATAATTAGACGGCATCAAAAGCATGGATTACTGATTCTCTGTCTAAAATGTAAAGAATGGCACTCATCCAGCACTGTATACTGTCTCGCACTCCCCCCTACCAGCCCATTTTGGTTTGACATGTGACTAGACAACTCCCTCCCCTGCTACCACTCTTCCAGCTCAGCATAGCACAGCCACTTTGTCTTGTTACGATAGCTTTTCGCACTAGTCATAATCGAAGGACCTTTAAAAGGACTTCTCCTCAGTTATTCTCGTAACGTATCTCTGAAGTGTTTTACACAGATATTGTATAATAGTAACATAACCTGTCGATCTTAATATGGGCGTTGCAGCTCAATTGTCATTAGCTACTAGGGCATATATAGAACTTATGTGGAAGGGAAATATAGAAAATCTGAAGACCGCGGGAAGTAGTTAGACCATACCACGCCGGTTGAGCGGTGTCAGGGATGAAGATGGGATGAGACCTCCGAGGGGCTTCGAAGTGCCTGGGACGCGAATGGAAGGCTTTGAGAGTCCTGATATTGCTAACTTGATGCGCTGTGAAGTACAAGACGAGAGACAAAGAGCTCGATCTATATAGCTATCAGAGTGAGCATTTCTCCTGTCCCGTCGATCGTGGTAAGGCATTCCTCCTGACTCTGGGGATCTGGACCGCTCGAAGGAGCGACAGGTCTCAGACTAAGCGTAAGGGGTCTTCGGAATGCTGAGATCGGAAACGTGGCGAGGACGGTAGCGGTGGCGATATATAGTTCGATAGCAAAGTCAGGGGCTCAACAAATCCGTAAAGCGCGGTTCATTGTAGACTCATCCTAATTAGCTCTAAGACATTCACTTCACGTTGAATAGGACTTCGATTTCGCAAATCACTGTACAGAGTTCTAGATTTCAATGCCTCCCTAAACATCTATACAAGCATTGGCCGTAAGGCGCCTAATTGCCTGCTGCTGCCTTCTGTTGTCTGATTTCGGGCCGTATGCGTCAACCATACCTAGACTTTGAGAGGAGCCACAGTATCCTACGGTCAGGCACAATCGTTTGTCAGAATGTTGTGTCGCTGTGGGAGGCTATCGTGCAAATCCGTCATATTGCAGTGCTCTGTTGGCCAACAATGCCTCTAGTGCCCGGCCGCGCATGTGAGCGATGACCTCCATGGGTCAATACTGTTGAATGCATGGTATTTTGCGAGCGGCATCGAGTTGGATCAAGTAGACCCCATTTGAGGGTGTCTGGTTCGAGTTCGGAGGGGTCGATAGCTAACGAACGGACATTACCACAAATCCAAGTACTAACAGGAACAGGAATGGAACAAAGACGTGGACATATTCGTTAGCAACAGTAAAGCAAAATACAACAGCGTAGATTGGAGAGCCGTCGACAAGTATCGTTTTGAATCACTCCACAAACAGCTCGCACAGCTCGGCTTAATCATTCCTTGCAAAGACGCCAGCACCTCAGAGCTCCGAGTCAAAGAGGGTTCGCTCTGGGATGAGTCGCAACTCAAACAACTCAGCCTCATCTGGCACCGTCTGCCCCCTTGGCCCGACACCTGCCGTGGCCTGGACTTGCTCAATGGACAATTCTCGACCGTGGGCCTTAGCAACACTTATAACGAATTGATGGAATACCTGGTCGCGCATAGCAGCATACCCTTCAAGCATGTTTACCCTTCCGACATGTTCCAATCATTCAAGCCGAACCCCAAGGTATATCTCGGAGCGGCAGAGAAGCTGGGGGTCAGGCCGGAGGAGTGTGGGCTGGTGGCCGCGCGTCTCAGCGATTTGAAAGGTGCCCAAGCGTGCGGATTCTATGTAATATATATTGACAGGCCGTTGGAGGAAAAAAATCCAGAGTTGCGGGAGGAAAACATTCCGGACATGCGGATCAAAGAGGATGAGAATGGGTTTGTTGCCCTTGCTGAGCGTTTGGGAATACCAGCTAGTTAAATAGCCGCCAACATTCGCCGAGTGCTGGACAAGGAATGGCCTCAGAGCAATCAGAACTAGCCAAAAAAAAGGGTCCTCCTCGAAAGTGTTGAGGGGGCTGCCAAGATCAGGAATTGGGAGGGTGGTCAATGTGCACGCGAAGAGAGGAGGCAGGCTTTGACGGGAGCCTAAAGGGGGAATCGAGGACAGCTCGTTACGATAGAGGAAGAGTCCAATAACGTGGTAGATTTTAGAGCCAGATTGAGGATCGAGAATAGAGAACCTAGCATAGTAGGGAGAGAGATACAGGCGGCATAAAGGTAAAGAACAATAGGGTATATTAAGGCGCGCAGAGGTGAGAAAGTAAAAACAAAATAAGCTGGTAGAGAAGTAGAGAGAGATTAGGACATGAGACAAACGTTAAAGGCGGCCGCCAGCCAAGCCTCTGACCACATCTGAATGGGAAAGGCTGCCTTAGCTGAAGGCGGATTTCCCTACACCTACAGTATTTATATGCAGTCGAGAACGGGCATGTAGACTCTCAAATATACTATGAGCTATGGTCCTTAGGCTCGACAGTCTCGACTACAGGGCTCTTATCAGTATACTGATTTGTCACTTCTTCCAGCAAGGGTTGTTGTGCACACTCGGCCTGCGGATCCTCCACGACAATGGAGCCGTCTTCGCCCTGGGAAAGAGTGATTTGTTTCCAACCTTGAGCTTTAATCCACTCTTTTGTTGACCGGCAGCTACCTCTGCCTGTGCCAGATGGCTCCGCTTCCGGGGGCTTGGTGGAAGGCGGCGAGGTCATGAGGCGCCCTGGTGACGTTCGGTCAAGATATCTGCGCATCTTTGTGGTGCCGGCTCGGCCCAGACACAAGACAACCAAGACGGCAATGAAGACGCAAAATGTCCCCAAGGCTGTCATTAACGCCGGGATGCCGTACACCATGTGGTACCTGATACGTCGCTCGTATACGGTCACCGGAACCAACAAGGTCGCATCGTCGTCCTGCTCCGAGCTGCCGTCGCGTTTCTGGAGGTTTCCCTGCTGCTGCCGCGGCTGCTGCAAACTTCTTGTCCCAACGACTGAATTGGCCGCCACGTCCGTCCAAATAAGATTCAATATTTTGGCAGCGGTTGCTGGAGTACGCGACAAATCTTGCCACAATCTATACATGGCCAGATTCGTTTTGCCGGAATAGTCCATAATGGTGCCGTAATATGCGGAGCTGATGCTATAGAGGGCCGCGAGAGCGTCGGCGTGGAAATCGACACCCGGCAGGTTCTGATAGCCAACGGACAGCGGACCTCCACCCCCTCCACCAACATAGCCAGGCAGATAAAGGAATTCTTTTCGCAACGTGGTGACGGACACATTACCTTGGTCTGGTCCCGACAGGAGACCCCACAAGATGTGAACATCCGAGATTACCTGGTCTGTCTTCTCAACCCCCCACAGAGGCTTGGAAGACTCGTTAACGTATACCTTGTCAGATATGTTCGTGACCTTCAATCCTGAGAGATCGTCGCTTCCATTGAAACGGAAGGAAACAGTCTTGATCAAAGCTTTCGTGGTAGAGATGCACGAGTATAGCGGGACAGTCCAGTTCGAGCCAGGTTCAAACACAACAGACTCGCTCCCGTCTCTTCGCCGTGGCGCTCCGTACAGCAGTCCACATGCAGCCGCAAAATTGGTGATGTTGGCAATATCCTGGCCACCAGCACCTTGACAAAGAAGTCCTGCAACGCGTTACTCAACGAGCAAAAGAAGGAAATCAATGGATTAGGACTTACCAGCGCTGGAGAAGTTTGACTGATCGATCCCGAAAGGATTCGAATATAGCGGTGGCACTGATGGGACGTCGGATGGCAAGGAAAAGTTGTACAGAGAACTGGTGTTATCATAGATTCCCGTTCCCTGATCCAGACCATTCAGATAATATCCATACAGCATTGACGTAGTGAGGATATCAGGACCCAGAGAACTCGACATTCCCGAGAGTCCAGTTGAATTGGGGCTCATGAGCGGAAATGTCTTTCCGACGTGTGAGTTGAGGTATTCAAAGGCGCGAGAGCCCGGCTCGCTTTGATTGGCAAAATTCGTCACGTTCATGAATGCCATGGACCAAGCATTGTTTATCCACGCCGCTTTGTATGCTCGCAAATAGAGCTCTGGATTTCTCTGCGTATCACCCCGGTCCCAAACCGGATATTTTTTGATGAGATTGGCAAAGCCCCCTCGATCTGTCAGCACCAGATCTGAGACTTGACTCGTAGAGGAACCGTATCTGGGGATAGTGAAATCCAAGGTCAGGTTCGTATCGACACAGAGGGACTCGGGCTCAACAAAGAGCAGATCTTCAGACCATGTGCTGCCGAATGGTGACACAGGCGGTGCACTATGGTTTCTGAAGCCGATTCCACCATTTTTCATGTCCACCACTAGGCCTTCAATGGCAACATAGTCGTCTTCCAACACCATGGTCGAAATCTGTCGGTAAGCAGTAACGGGGTATGAAGATCCATTGTCCGGTGCTAGTGCGTTAGGACTGTCGTTGATTAGAGACCACGTGTATGATCTTGATTGAATGTCAAATATGCTTCCGACAGATTTGTCCATGGCTGAGAGGCCGCTTTCAAACACGTCAATGACATATTGGTGTACATGAGAATCGTAGTCATCGGCTGACCAGTATTCTCCTGAAGCGTTGCTGAAATAAGCTATAGTGTGAGGCGAGTTTGGACAATTCACCGGGCTGAATGCTCCGCAGATGCGGCTCCAAGGAAGGTCGGTTCTTGGAGGAGTCCCGTAACCAAATTGGGACTTATCGGCAACATAATGGAAAGTGGACGGGGTTGTGCTTTGGCTCGAGAGTATGTCTTGATGTAGGCCGAGTGGTGTTACGATGGCGGCAACGCCGATCAAGACGGTGAAGAAAGTCTTCAGGGTCGCAATGGCCACGACACGCAGAGGTACTCTTGAGGTCGCTGCAGTGTCCCCGGAGAGAATCGTGGGCCAGTAGGAGGAATGCAGGAACCGACCGACAACAGACCTAACGGAGAGATCAACCGAGACTCTTCGTAGTGGACAAATAGAGCTTCCACGCACCAAGAAACTGCCGTTGCAGTTGCAGCCGAATTCTTTTCCCTGAGGACCCCAAGAAGAATGACCGGCAAGGCTGTGGGAACGAATATCTGGACTGAGTAAAGCAATTAGCCATCTGCCGTCGGTGACGGGGGTTGTCACAACTGCCTACCAACAAAAATGGCAGCAGCGATGATGCCAGACACGTAGCCGACAGTTAGATTGTTAAGGTCGATCATATTGACGAGACGTGAATCACCATTCTCACCCAGTGTTTTCCCAGGTAGGATCCTGCGCAAGAGCTGCACGAGGACCAGAGTCCAAAGAAAGATATTCCCATCATCAAGGCCTAGAAGCCTCTTGGATGATATTGATGTCCTCCGTGGAATTGATATCACTCCAAATGCCCATGAAGCATATTTCGGACTGTCCCTTACCTAATAAATATTGCAGGGCGTTGATGTGATCAAGTGTCGACCAATAACAGGTCAACTCAATGGCCAAACCCGAATACGAGGACTAGTCAAGACTAGTATACCTGCCATTTCAGACCGTTGTTACAGACAAGCCTGGACAAGCAACACCTATAAATTGGCAGGTCAGAACCTTGTCTCTTGGCTTGTCGATCGTCAGGGTTTGTGTTCGCTGTGCGCCTACCTAGTACTGGGTAGAGGTGTCGCACAAATTTCATTCCAGACAATTGACTGCCCTTTCCTCACCAGCTGGTCTTTTTTCGAGATTTGTATTATTATAGACCTTTGAGGAATCGAATATTGAGATGTAGGATTGTGGCATCTTACCCTTTCCGCCGATGTCGATCGATCGAAGCAGCCCAAGGACAATAGCGATATGGCCGGGACTCGATGAAACACGTCTGGCTGAGTTTACTAGGGTGTCCCAGGGTGTTCCACGGCGGGTAAACTTTGCCCTTGTGGGGGCCAACTCCAACAGTGAACTTTCTCTCTCTGAGAGTGGTGCGAAGTCAAGTGACTGTGTGGACTTGGGCAGTCTCATGCAAAAGACCTACTTGTACCTCGTACCAAGTATGTACCCTCCTTCGTCCTCATCTAATTAGCCGCTCGCCGCTTTGCTCACCCTCCGCTCACCTTATACTTCCTGAGCGATCACTAGGCACTCCCGGAGTCTTCCAAAGCCTTGGGGTCATTCCTCTCTTCTTCTACACCACAACACCAACTTTTGTCAACTTCAGACAATAGGACCCATTGAAGATGCTAGGGAATCCCAGTCCGCCCCTTTCATGACGTTCTTGAACTGGTCACTTCGGCGGCTACCGTGTTACGGTAAGACGGAAGGTGGCAGCGATCCTCTTGATTACCAACCAGCCTTGTTTGATGGTCATTCTACTAGCCATTGCCAGAACGATCAACCCCATCGTTCATGCGATCGGTCAGGGGGATCTTCAGGGGGGGACTTTTGTCACCCAAAGAAATCGCTAAAATGGGGGATACTCAGATAGCGAGCAAACTTGACAGAACGAAATCAATCACGTAGACACAGTTCCGTTTCACTCCGAGTCAACAAGCCTAACATCACGCTCTGCCTTGAACTCCAGGACACAAGTCAATCCAGAAAGAGGAGGGCGAAGGGGAAGGAAACAAAGAGGGAGAAGGCGAAGAGGTAAAAGAGACGGATGTGTTGGTCGCGTAACGGCCGTAAGGACTTGAGTGCGTTATTATGCTGATTTTTGTTGTTTTTTTTTTTTTTGGAGAGTATACAACTTTGCTAGCAAAAAGTTCAATAGGCTGTTAATAGTAATCTGAAACACCTGAAAGCGGCTCCTTAGTAGTTGTAAAGTTCACCTTCCATCTGCCAATCCTGCTCAGGTTGCAGTATTGGCCACTTGTTCAACTGGACGATCTGCTTACTGCACCCGATACCGGAAAGCTCTCCCCTTAAGCTGCAAGCACCATCTTACAAGCAGTGTACTTAAACGCTGCACGGTGGGAAACGATGACTCTCACAGCGACAAACACAAAATGCTATGGAAGACGAGGTACAAGTGGGCTATTTCTACTAGGTGAGGCGTTTCTCGATGGCCAGATGTCGATTGCCGTGCGCATTGTCCTAGGCCTGGAACCGTTCAGCCTCGTTCCTGCCAGCAACGTCTGAGGGTGGCTTCTGTATGGACAGCTTTGACACTAGCACTCGTCACTTTCTAGTAACGGGAGGATTCCAAGCTCTCCAATTATGCTACCTACCAGCGCTTCCTTCACTGATTATGCCAGCGAATCGAGCTTTCTTCCATCTGCAGCAATCCCCCACGAACCGCACATTCCAAGACTTCCTCGGCCGCGTCAATCCCTCACGACCACTGCGCTTTTGATGAAGAGCCCGTCGACCGCAACCTTGACCAGGAATCTCGCCACACTAGCAACACTTACGCTGTCGGTTAAGCGCATTCCGTCACCCTTACTGCCCAGCGTCTGCACGTCCCTCTTCCTGTCGGTCGGCTTCTGCATCAGATCGTCGAATCGCAGCCTCGAAGCCCTCACAAGAGTCCAATCCATCTTCGTCAGCCGAATCTCCTTGTCTACAAGGCCGTGATCCTCGAGTGCGTGCTTGATGTTGGTCCACCCCATGAATGCCTTGGTCAGCCACGGTAGTTCAGTCCATGAATCCCCGACACCCGCTGTCGACATCACGACAATGCGATAAATGGCGGCATGGTCCAGAACCTCGCAAACATTGGCACACGAGTCGGCCAGGAAGCGAGGAGGTGAGACCTGAGGCGCGAAAGGACTGTCGGACTGGCGCACTGTGTTCAAGGTGATGATCGCTGCAGAAGGTGTTAAAGAAGGCGCCGCGTAGAGGGCGCTTTTCAGGTCGGATTTCGATAGTGGCGAGCCAATGACGACGGTGAGGCCAGGTCGGGCGGTGAGGCTGCCAGAGGTACGCACGAGGGCTACCGCTGTGTGACCTTGAGAGAGTAATTCAGATACGACGTGCTGACCGGTCCGTCCAGTGGCGCCGAGGAGGAGGAAATGCATGGCTTTCGACGACGAGAGGCACCGTTGAGTCCTCGTTTGCTTAATCTTGTGGGGAGACGAAGAGGCTTCGTTACCAAAGGGCGACGGGGTTGCGGATCCATTTATGAAGTTGACCACCATGGTCGGTATGGGGGGTCGATCCAGAGACAGGGTGCCGCTGATTGGTTTGTTCGGTCTATATACTTGAATGGAAGCTGCGTGCAATCTTATGCACGCACGCCGACCGACTCGTTCCTCCTCATTCCACCTTGAAATGCGCTAGGTGGCGTTATTGAGGCTGTGAGAGCGTGATACATGAATGAGGTGTGCAGAGTCTCTGTCCTACAGCGTTCGGTAGCGACGCCGGCTTTCTCCCACTCGACTTGTTAGCTATGAATTTCGCGGATTCCACTGAGTGTGAATAAAGACCAGGAATCAGGTGCGTGGCTCGTAAAGATTGCGCCACTTTGCCATAAACATCAGCTTACTTTAGATCGCTCCCCTCGACCACTTCTAGTCCCACTGCACGTTCTATAAGCCTTTACTCTTTCGCCCACATGGTGAGCTACGCCCTGCAATCGTTCGTTCTCGGTCCGCAACTTGGCATAAAGATCTGGTGAGGAGTCTAGTGCCCCCAGGAGAACGATTTTCAGTATCAGATGAAAGAAGCGCATGAAAGACACTGAAATAAGTTCAGGGCCAGGAGGTCTGATCTCCGTCTGAATGAGTTCAAGATCAATAAGCCACGATTCTAAGGAGTCCAGTAGAGCTGCCTTCTCGGATAGGAGTCGAAGAGCGTGTCCCACCGATTCGACTTGTGACACTTTGCCGAGGAATTCAAGCGTCGATGCAGCGATCCTTGTAAGCTCTGTCCGCATGTCAGGTGCGATCGTGCGAAGATTGCGAGATTCAACAGGGTGCTGATGAGACGAGATCAAACATTCAGACACCGTCGTCTCGCCTGTATCGACAGTTGCTGGAGGATCCGCGAACTTGCATGGTGCAGCAAACAGCTTGATGATGAAAACATCCAGGAAGGGTAGTTGGCCATGGTGTGCTGGCACCAATTTATCCGCGGCAACAAAAGTTGGCCTTGCCCGGTACTCGTGCATGATCCTGAGTCCTCGAACGATGTGCTGGGCCATAGCAGCGTAATTCTCCCGCACTTGCTCAATGCTGATGAAGACCTGACAGCAAAGTAATGCCGACTTCAACCCCGTGGAGCCCGGAGACGACATGTTAGACGCAAGACCCCCCAAAGCCATACAATATTGCTGGAGGCCATAGTCATAGCTCGGGGTCTGCTGCGCGACAGACGCTGGAACGTCTCCGGACGTCTCGCGATCTTCCCGAAGAGCTCGGAGAGACAAGACTGCGTGTCGTATAGGCGGATCACTCAAGCTGGCTTGGAGGACTTGCCTGGCTTCTTCATCACAGTCCAGCTTCACATCGAACATAGTTTTGGTTGAGAAGTAACGATTGAGAAGGTCGATGTCCTGAGGGAGGATCTCAGTTAAGAGGGGCCGGATGCCCTGTAAGCCAATACCTGACTTGGTGCCGCCAGCATGAGCGCTGTTGATGGTCTGACTCGTAAAAAATCTAAAGGGAGACTCATAGCCGTCGCAAGTACGACCAGTGTCGACACATTTTCGGCAAAACGGCTTGTTCTCGTCGCATTTGACCTTCCTTCTTCTATTGCTGAGTGAGCACAATCACTGCAGAGCTGACCTCCCGTCTAAATTTTCAGTCTTGGGGTGTAGACCGGTGATGGGATTTGGCACTGACCTGCAGGTTGCACAACCAGTTTTCACCTTGGTTTTACATTGGATGTACCGTTTGCGAGTGACAAGGCTTCTGGCCATCGTTGGGCGGGGGCTGGGACATTCACGCTTGTCGCACAGCACCCTCCAGACGAGAGGAAGAATCGTAGCAAGCAAGAAATCCGAGCAGATGAATCAAATGATGCAACTTAATTCATCACCGAGACTATGAGGAAGGCAAGTCGGTTTCGCTTCGTGCCAAGCGTGTTGTTGAGGTCTGAGGAGCAGGCCTCGGCGCTAGCTCGATTGGGTAGCGAGAGCGAACCCACCAACCGTACGTGCTGTTGGAAGTGTGAAATGAGACATGAAAGTATATTCGAAGCAGCTCAATCTAAATGGCCTGGGAGGCTACAGTTAAAGCCATAATCACTAGCAGCCTGCCATATTTCACAGAAGGGCTTCATCCTTTAGCCTTCTCCTAGCACATCCCGTATTCCTGCGACTGATACGATCGTCCAGCTAGGTCTTGTTGAACCGCTCCACATTCCTGCGACTGACACGATTTTCATAGCTGTGTTACGAGGCCCAACTTGTCTCGATCGGCTTATATATTGAGTAGCTGGCCCGATCCCTCTCGAAATGAGTACTTGCACATGTCGAAGCTCATCACCAACAGCCCTGGATTCGTGTCGAAACTACTGCACAGCTTAAAAATGCCAGCTTTTACTCTGTACGGCTCTCGCGGTTCGACCAACACCGATCGTGTCCGCCTGACTCTCGCCGAAGGTGGCTTCACGGATTACGAACTCGTGCTTCTCAACCTTCAAAAAGGGGAGCAGAAGGTGTGTGAACCGTTTCTCTTGGAAGACGTCGCCGCTTCTCCGTGCGCGAGCAAATTGTATATCGCTAACGCCGCTGCACCCAGTCCGAAGAAAACTTGAAACGTCACCCGTGGGGTAAAATACCCGTCATAACTTTCCCTGAAGGGTTCACTCTCTACGAGAGTCGCGCAATCTGCAAATACCTCGCAAGGAAGTACTCCTTTCCACTTCTACCCTCGGACTCCGACGTCGAAGCTACGGCGCTGTTCGACCAGGCGCAGTCCGCAGAAATGCTCTACTTCACTGAGCCTGCAGGTAGAATCGCATTTGAGAAATTTGCCAAAAAATTCATGGGGCTGCCTCCCGATGAGGCCGTTGTTTCAGATGCACTGCGGTCGGTCGAGATGTTTTTCGATGTTGCAGAACGTCTCTTACAGCACAAAGACTACATGGCTGGAAATGACTTCACTCTCACGGATATCTACTACATTCCACTGATCCAAAGACTTTTCGCGTGCGGGTATGGAGATGTCATCCTCAGTCGCAAAGCTGTGAGTGCTTGGTGGGACCGCTGCATGAATAGGCCAGCCATACAGAAGATATTGGCCGCTGACAGGGAGGCTGTAGCTGCTGCTAGTAGATAGCTTGTTATATATGTATTTAGTGAAAAGATGCTACCGCGTGCTGAGGACGATAATGAATCCTTTAATTAGTTTATCGCTTTGAGACTGTATTCCTAATATGAAGATAATTTGGTCTTCGCTCAGGAAGCGCTCAGTCATGGTCAGCTAATGGCTCAGTTGGAGCTCAGGCTAAAGCGGCCTTCGCTGACCCTCGGCGATAAAACCGTATATGGCAAATAGGGTTTTCGTTCTCGAGTATTAATATGGGTACCTGCGTAATCCATATACGGAGCCGGGTAGTGGTTCAGCTCAAACCAAAACAAGCCCATGTTTCTCATCCGCTCTCTGCCAGAAAGCGCACAAAATTGACTCCAACCGGGTCTAGTATGTTGCCGGAAGATCTTGGAAAAGAGCGATCTTGTACAAGATATTTTGGCGTTTTGTCGACTGGTGAATTTGAAAAAATACCGCTAAAAGGGCGAAATCCATGGACACTACGGTCCTGTTGGCGAAACTGCACATCAAGTCCAACGGCTCAAGCATTGTATCGGATAGTACTCCAACGCGATCCACGCACGCTCCTAGGGATATCGGAGTCGATGCTCGATCAACAGTAGACTGTGGCCAAAGACGTGTATCTGCGAAAGCATATGTGTCAGAATATGTTTTTGGTCCGTATATTCAACTTTGTCGGGTCTAAAGTTCAAGTTAGTGGGTTAAGGAGCGTTCAAAAAGTCTCCCACAAAGTCAGCCACCTCCTTCGGTTTCTCGACCATGGGTAAATGGCCAGCGCCCTCGACGAGCTTGAAAACAGCCGTTCTCCCTTCTGCCGAGCCCAGCTCCTTCGACAGCTTCTCCATGCCCTTTGGCAGCACGCCGTCGCCGGCACCGACTAAGAAGGCGCCTCGGCCCTTGTGCCCGGCCAGGAGACCCGTGTAGTCGTAGTTGAACAGAGTCTCGACGCCCCGACGGAACTCAGGCAGCGAATTGGAGTAGACCATGCGCTTGACGCGGGCGATTTCCGGGACGAGCTCGGGATTGTCGTAGGACTCGGGCACGAACCACCGCCGCACCGTCATTTCGGCGAGTTCTTCGCCCACGACGGCCTGCGGACTGGCGTCCGAGGACTCGTCGCCGAACAGAGACGCCAGGCGGAGTGTGGTGCCCTTTTTCGCGGCCACGGCGATCCGCTGACCCCAAGTGTCTTTGTTGCCGGCGGGTGATTTCGCAGACGTGTCGCACGCGACGAAGGCCTTGATCCGCGACGGGTATTGGAGGGCCGTTGCTAAAGCGGTGACGCCGCCCATGGAGACGCCGACGAGGCCCGCCGCTTGAGGAACGCGCAGGGCGTCCAGCAGCTGGATGACGTCGGACGCCTGCAGGTCCACAGTCACGGGGCTTGTCGTGCCGCTGGGGATGACCCTCCCACGGGCTAGGAACCGGAGGACGCGGTACTTTTGATTTTGCGGGCGAGAAAAGAAGTGCACGAGGAAGGTGTCCCAGATGCCCCAGGTCGTTAGGACCGAATTGACCAGCACGAGGACCGGGGCGTTGGGGTCGGAGCTGCCTTCGAGGCGGAAGGGCAGGACTGCGCCGTCGCCTGTGGTGACCGTCGATTCTATCGCCGAGCCGTATGGTGAAATGTTTGGGAGCGTCTTGGTGACTCCGTCTGGCGATGTCCACGGTGCGACGATTGCCAGGTGGCGAGCTGCGGTCCCAAAGGTATAGAAGAGTTCATACGTGCGTGCCTTGCTCTCCGAAACGTCCACGGGTAGCGCTTCGAATGTGGAGGGTAATGCCTTGGGGTTGGTGGACGGCGTGAATTCGTTGATCAGGACAAAATCGACTTGTCCGTCTTCGCGTGGTTCGAGATAGGACGTCTTGTACCACGACGTCCTCCTCCAGCCGGGGATGTCTTGCGCCTTTGCGAGGACAGTGGTCTGGATCCAGTCCCCAATGCTCGAGACCTGGTCCGGAGCGAGGAGCAATCTGAGTGTGGTCAGGACATTCCCTTGTTCGTTCTCCTGGAAATGTTCTGGCGCTTCGAGTTTCACGAAGGTCTTGTCATTGACCCGTTCGCCGACAAAATCCAGCGTCAACCGATCCACCCAGATCTGGGCCATCACATCGATTTCTCGCTGCGTTTTGCCGGGTGGTGCTCGCAGATACTGGTATGGCTGTTCGGTGAATTGGTGCATGTCAGTGGCATCGTAGATGGCCAGGAATTCGGGATGGGCGCGAGTGCCGGCATTGGGTCCTGGCAAGTCTGTGGCTCGATATCGAAACCCATTCGGCATGAACGACAGGCGGGTTCGATTGGGTCCATGTTCATTGTTGTACCAGTCATGGAAGAGATCGAGCGACAATGTCTCCTTGGGTTGCATAGTCACGAACAGCAACCCGCGAACGGGGCTTGAGGAGAGCATGACGGCAACTCACAAGGACCCGTTGCCAGTTGAAACCGAACCGGCACAAAGTGAGAAACTGTCGCTTCCACGTCGCCCGTGGCGAGACCGTGGGTATGTAGCGGTAATTTACTCTGCCTTGGCCCTTTTCGTGATTCAAGTGGCACCACAGACACATTCAAGTGTTTTTCCAGAGAGAACCTGTGGACATTTACAAGTAGGCAATACAATCTAAGAAAATCTTCGAGATGGTCACGGCAAGTGTGCGTGAAGAGTGCGAAGTATTTGCCGATCTTCGATGCCTACGGTCCTCCGTAGTACGTAACCACGTCAAACTGCATCGGAAGATGGCCGCGGCGGGGCTGATGTTGGCATTAAACATTGCTGTGGGACGCTGGAGCGGAAGACTTTTTATCCGCCACGAGCGAAACGAGAAGCGCGAACGAGTTTTCTTCCATATTTATGCGTGCAACAGAGCGTATGCGGTACAGGATGCTACAGAGAGAAGTCTCGAACTAGTCGTACCAGATGGCATTCATGCCGAAGCCGGGCTCTTTGATGTCCAAATGAGCGACTCTGGAAAGATACTCGTCGTGCCAACGGTAGATTTCTACCCATCCGTCTTGATCATCCGTCAAAGCCAACCACTCGTCGGTCCAAGGACAAGGACTCACCGCGTTTGAGTGGCCTCCGCTATTGGGCGTCGGGCTGATACATAACTGTCTCTCAATCTGGCCCTGGGGTCCAAGCTTGAAGACGCTGATATACCCCGTTACGCTGAATGAGTTCGACCGGGCGGTTGCGAAGAGATACTTCCCACTCTGCGCACAAAATACCACGTCGGATCGGTACATCTTCTTGAGATTTCGAACACCTGCTTCTTATTAGCCCGAATGATATGGCGCGAATCAGGCGCGTACCTGGAGGAACAAGCGGATAGAGGTTTTGCGTGAAGACGGGGAGGTGTGTCTTCTCGTCGACCACGTAGACCCCCAGCCGATTTCCGGCTTCCATCAGCACGTAGAGATAGTGTCCACTGGGATGGATCTCCACCCATCGAGGATGATCGCCAGCCGAGGGTGCATCGACGCTGCCGACCAAGGTGAGGGTGCCATCGCTCGCTTTCTTGTGCGTCCAGATCTTGTCGGCCCACATGTCGGCGGAGTAGAGATAGGTCTCTGTCGGGTCAAAGACCATCCCATGGATGGCAGATTGCTCGCTGTATTCGTAGTTTTGGATATTCTTGTCGAGTTTGCCCTTGTCGTCTACGGAGAAGACGTTACCGTAGCCCGCATGTTCGTAGAATGGATTGCCATAGACGCAATAGGGCGGCTTCTTGGCTGCCAGCACAAATATCGCTCTCGTCCTGGTGTCGGCGCTCTGAGCCCGAGCTGCCCGTCGTCAGCCCGGCATCATGCCAGCAGCAAGATGGCCAACCTACGATCATGATTCATCGGAAACGAAACCTCATGTGAGATGTTATCTGGTGCTTTGACGGCATGACAAGACCATTTCTTCATCGAAGCTCCGTAGATATTTTGCCGCGCATGCTGCTCCGAGGGTTGTTGTTGTCAGTAGAGCAAAATCCGAGGGGGGCCGACACCCGCCATCTCTCTGGTGTACTTTGTACTCACATCGAATGTCATCCATGATATCGGCTCATCCACTGGAATGGATGTTTTCTTGACCAAAGTCAGGGTCCATGCTTCATCGTCGAACTCGACTGTGAAAATCGCGCCCGGCGGTGTCCATGTCCCTATCATCAGATGGTGTTTCATTTTGGACACCCAAGACACCTTTGTGCCCAATTCTGAAGAACCCAACTCGCCAAGTCACATGGCTATTTCAAGCCTGGCGATCGACGTGGGGATGGATGTGGCGAAATCAGCCCCGGACAACCCGCAAAGCGAGAAATTTGGAGATGCCGAATTTGATTGCCGGGAAGAACTCGATTCGTGCAGCACTTCAACTACCGACTTTTTGCAACTTTCCAGGCACGCAGCGCGAGGCGGCACGAACTTGCCGACACGAGAACGACCCTCTTGCCGTGGGTGCCGTCCTGCTTAGACTTAGCACCCTGGTAATTGGTTCAGCGCGTGCAAGTATTCGATTCCGAGAACGAAAGGGTTCTCCGGGATCGAAATCGTGGAGGGGAAGGGAGGATTGAACGACGTCAAGAGCCGCTTGTCGCTGCCTTATATATACTGCCACCATGGCCCTGGAAATGGCAGGAGTCTTCGTGCCTACTTCACTCCTCTCAGCTTACGTCCACTTCACTTCTCCCTTGTCCAACCTTTGTCTTGTAACCAGCGGTCTTCGTCTTGGTGCTGTGTGACTCGATTTCTCCTTCTCGCTCAATACGACACACTCACTCCCTCCACATACACATATACACCCTTTACACCGGCAACATGAACGGGACGACGAATGGAACGGCAGCTCACAAATATGATCCCAACTTCACCGACAGCCTCATCCAGGCCATGGGTCCCAAGACCCCTGAGCGAGCCAGATTTGTCCTGGGAAACTTGATCCGCCATCTCCACGACTTCATCCGCGAAACGGAGCTTTCGCCTGAAGAATGGATGCGAGGCGTCCAGTTTATCAACGCCATCG